TTGCTATTTGATATAGAAATATATAGTAAGCAACATGTAATTGTTTACCATGTGTGTGTATTCTTCCCACATCCGAGTCCTTGACTTCTCCAGATCACTCTGTATATAAACTTAAGGGAGGTGTGTCATTTCGATGGGACACGAAACTTGTTTGTGGGAAGACTATTTGTGTTTACAGGGCGTGAAGCGGACCGCTGACTGTGCAGGGAGGGGAAGCTGGGCGTGATGCACCAGTAACACAGATTGTATGGGTGCTGTAATACTGGAGAATACAGGCTGGTCTGTGTGGCAGCAGGTGCCCCTGTGGTGTAGAATGTAGTGTGTTGTACTGTTGTATTGTAGAATGTAGTGTGTTGTGTTGTAGGATATAGTACTGTGTGTTAGGATGTAGTACTGTGTGTTAGGATGTAGTACTGTGTGGTAGAATATATTACTGTGTGGTAGGATGCAGTATTGTGTGGTAGGATGTAGTACTGTGTTGTAGGATATAGTACTGTGTTGTAGGATGTAGTACTGTGTGGTAGGATATAGTACTGTGTGGTGGGATATAGTACTGTGTGGTAGGATGTAGTATTGTGTGGTAGGATATAGTACTGTGTGGTAGGATATAGTACTGTGTGGTAGGATGTAGTACTGTGTTGTAGGATGTAGTACTGTGTGTTAGGATGTAGTACTGTGTTGTAGGATATAGTACTGTGTTGTAGGATGTAGTACTGTGTGGTAGGATGTAGTGTTGTGTGGTAGGATATAATACTGTGTTGTAGGATGTGATATTGTGTGGTAGGATATAGTACTGTGTTGTAGGATATAGTACTGTGTGGTGGGATATAGTGCTGTGTGGTAGGATATATAGTACTGTGTTGTAGGATGTAGTACTGTGTGGTAGGATATAGAACTGTGTTGTAGGATGTAGTACTGTGTTGTAGGATGTAGTACTGTGTGGTAGGATGTAGTACTGTGTTGTAGGATGTAGTACTGTGTTGTAGGATGTAGTACTGTGTTGTAGGATGTAGTAGTGGTAGGTGTACTGTGTTGTAGGATGTAGTACTGTGTGGTAGGATGTAGTACTGTGTTGTAGGATGTAGTATTGTGTGTAGGATGTAGTATTGTGTGGTAGGATAGATATTGTGTAGGTACTGTGTTGTAGGATGTAGTATTGTGTGGAAGGATATAGTACTGTGTGGTAGGATGTGATACTGTGTGGTATAGTGTATGGCAGGATATAGTACTGCGTGGTAGGATGTGATATTGTTTGGTAGGATGTAGTACTGTGTGGTAGGATGTGATATTGTGTGGTAGGATATAGTACTGTGTGGTGGGATATAGTACTGTGTGGTAGGATATAGTACTGTGTTGTAGGATATAGTACTGTGTTGTAGGATGTAGTACTGTGTGGTAGAATGTAGTTGTTGTGTGGTAGGATGTAGTACTGTGTGGTGGGATATGATACTGTGTGGTAGGATGTAGTACTGTGTGGTGGGATGTATTTGTGTCTGGTACGATGCAATATGTGTTCGGATGTAGTGAAGCTTGGCGATGTGTAGGATGTATTGGTGTATGGTAGGACGTAATACCGCGTGTAGGATGTAGTGGTGTATGGAAGGACGTAATACAACGTGTAGGATGTAGTGATGTATGGTAGGACGTAATACAAAATGCAGGATGTAGTGGTGTATGGTAGGACGTAATACAACGTGTAGGATGTAGTCGTGTATGTTAGGACGTAATACAACGTGTAGGATGTAGTGGTGTATGGTAGGACGTAATACCACGTGTAGGATGTAGTGGTGTATGGTAGGACGTAATACCACATGTAGGATGTAGTGGTGTATGGTAGGACGTAATACCGCGTGCAGGATGTAGTGGTGTATGGTAGGACGTAATTCTACGTGTAGGATGTAGTGGTGTATGGTAGGACGTAATACCGCGTGCAGGATGTAGTGGTGTATGGTAGGACGTAATTCTACGTGTAAGATGTAGTGGTGTATGGTAGGACGTAATACCGCGTGCAGGATGTAGTGGTGTATGGTAGGACGTAATACCGCGTGTAGTATGCTGTGGTGTATGGTAGGACGTAATACCGCGTGCAGGATGTAGTGGTGTATGGTAGGACGTAATTCTACGTGTAGGATGTATTGGTGTATGGTAGGACGTAATACCGTGTGCAGGATGTAGTGGTGTATGGTAGGACGTAATACCGCTTGTAGTATGCTGTGGTGTATGGTAGGACGTAATACCGCGTGTAGTATGCTGTGGTGTATGGTAGGACGTAATACCGCGTGCAGGATGTAGTGGTGTATGGTAGGACGTAATAACGCGTGTAGTATGCTTTGGTGTATGGTAGGACGTAATACAACGTGTGGAGCACCTTTAGAATACAGCACCACAACTTCTCGTGAGGACGATCTCTGCCGTAGGTCACGTCTCATTAAGACAAGCAACCAGTTTGTGAGAACCCGTCGGACGCGAACCCGCAACCTTTGGATTGTTAGCTCGACAGCTAACCGACTGAGCTACGTCTACACTGTTGCACAATGTGCAAATTTATCGAGTGATTCCTGTGACGTCACGGAAATGAACGGAAAGAGTCGAAAAGGTCACGGACAATTACGAAGGTTACGGGTAGACTTGGTGTCTCGTGATTTTATTCTACGGACAATTGCCGAATGGATCCGATGCCATTTGGCACACTCGTCCCATTCCGTAATCTACAAATTAACGTGTAGCGTGGAATGAGCCGACATGCCTCAAACTGAAAAGGGTTGTTGACGTCAGGCGTCAGACGTAGATTTCACGGTGCATGCATGAATGACGCGCTTTTATATAAATCGGTGATTTTGTGACAGAAAAGTGATGTAGGGAACACTGTAAGGATAATGTGGATCGAGGAACGAAGGAGACATGAGCATGTGTAGTGACGGCACGAGGGTGAGTTAGCCTTCGAATCATTACTTTACAAAATTTGTGTTGCATGTGAAAGAGGCTTGAGTGCAAATTCCAGGCCAATTTCCATTAGCCCAAAATTTCTACATTAAACCATTTCATAGTGTACTTTCGACGTTTTTGGTTTCCCGTTTTTGTGTGAAAAAAAAAGTATTAAAATGCAAAAAGGAAAAACAACAAATGGTTACACGTATTACACCGGACATGTACCTACTATATTCGATTAAGTCCCTAACCCTAAACCCTAAACCCTCAGCCCTAACCCTAACCCTAACCCCTTGAAATAATCCTAATAAATAGAATGCATTGACCGAGCCGGCAGTATTAAAATGCAAAAGGAAAAACAACAAATGGTACTCACGTATTACACCGGACATGTACCTACTATATTGGATTAGGTCCCTAACCCTAACCCTAACCCTAACCCTAACCCTAAGCCCTAAGCCCTAAACCCTAACCCCTAACGTACCTAACCCCTTGAAATAATTCTAATAAATGCATTGACCGAACAGGCACAAACATGACTGACGTGTCCAGTGTAATGCATTATTACCGCTTCGAAAAATAAAATACTAATAAAAAATCCTCATGGTAGGACGTAATACAACGTGTAGGATGTATTGGTGTATGGTAAGATGGTGTACTGTGTAACAGGATGTACTATAGTGAATGAGTGAATACAGTTTAATGCCGTTTTTAGCAATATTTCAGCAATATCACAGCGGGAGACACCAGAAAGGGGCTTCACACATTGTACCCATGTGGGGAATCAAACTCGGGTCTTCGGCGTGACGAGCGAACGCTTTAACCACTAGGCCACGCCACAGCTCTAGATGTACGTACAATAGTGAAGTGTGCTTCCTGAGGGAGGCCATGGTACGACATCACATTATGCGAGATTACTTAGCGTATATAAATATATGTAACATGTATCTGTTACATATAGAAAGACGACAAAATGTTACACAGTAGATGTTATTGCTTCGTCTTTATTTGTTGGATTTCGGTACTAGTGCACTAAAGGAGAAGAATCACAATGGTAAACACAAATATGGCAATCCTATCTACAAAGGAAAACTGTCAACTGATATTTGGGGTCCTCGGTTTTGTCGTTCTACAACCTCTACGTTCTCTCTAAACACACCTGTTAAGCATAGCCCCTGTGCTATCAAACGTGCCCAAAGAAAATAAAGTCTTTAACCGCCCTCTAAGCAAACCTGTCAAACGAAGGTACAACCTCTATGCACTTTCTAAGCAAATCTGCCAAATGAAGGTACAACCCCCATAAACTCACTAAACAAACCTGCCAAATGAAGGTACAACCCCCGTGAAATCTCTAAACAAACCTGCCAAATGAAGGTAAAACCCCCGTGAAATCTCAAAACAATCCTGCCAAATGAAGGTACAACCCCCGTGAAATCTCAAAACAATCCTGCCAAATGAAGGAAAAACCCCGTGAAATCTCAAAACAATCCTGCCAAATGAAGGTACAACCCCCGTGAAATATCTAAACAAACCTGCCAAATGAAAGAACTACCCCCGTGAAATCTCAAAACAATCCTGCGAACTGAAGGTACAACCCCCGTGAAATATCTAAACAAACCTGCCAAATGAAGGTACAACCCCCGTGAAATCTCAAAACAATCCTGCCAAATGAAGGAACGACCTCCGTGAAATATCTAAACAATCCTGCCAAATGAAGGATTTACCCCCGTGAAATCTATCTCTAAACAAACCTGCCAAGTAAGGGTACAATCCCCGTGAAATCTCTAAAAATAACCTGCCAAATGAAGGTACAACCTCCGTGAAATCTCGAAACAAACCTGCCAAATGAAGGTACAACCCCCGTGAAATCTCAAAACAAACCTGCCAAATGAAGGTACAACCCCCGTGAAATCTCTAAACAAACCTGCCAAATGAGGTACACCCCCGTGAAATCTCTAAACAAACCTGCCAACTAAAGGTACAACCTCCGTGAAATCTCTAAACAAACCTGCCAAATGAAGGTACAAACCCCATGAACTCTCTTGACAAACCTGCCAAATGAAGGTACACGCCCTATCAACTCTCTAAACTGAAGGTACAACCCCTAAGAAGTCTCTGAAAACAAACCTGCCAAATGAACATACAACGAAGGTACAACCCCTATAAACTCTCAGATAAGAAACCTACCAAATGAAGGTACCCTATGAAATCTCTAAACAAACCTGCCAAAGAAGGTACAACCCCTATGAACTCTCTAAACGAACAGGCCCAATGAAGGTACAACCCGTATGCACTCTCTAAACAAACAGGCCCACTGAAGGTACAACCCCTATATACTCTCATGCCCAAACATACCCACCGAAACATCCCCTTCTTCAGCTTCATGCTCCTCCTGCACGTATCAGTAACATGACATGACAACATCCTATACTATTCTCTTTCGGAACAAACCCTCAATACAGTACGGGAAACGAAAGAGTTTAGCTCTGATCACTAGACTGTGAATACGGTTGTAACATTTGACAATAAAGAAAATTCAAGGCAGTAACCCATTTGTCCATGTGGGGTAGTGAGAGATAAAGTTTACAACACATACACAAGCGACTAGGCAGTTGGAGCTCATACAACACAGGTCATGCCTAATTAAGCAAACTAACAGAATAGCTTCGGGATCGTGATTATCAGAGAAACCCCTGAATACCCCTGAAGGAATCTTGTTAGCTGTATCCATCATGTGAGAAGAGACAAAGTGGTCAGAAGAAAAAGCCCGAGGAAGATCAGGAAAAGTAGACGGTCGATGACAAGAGCGACCTCCCGCCATTCCGAGTCGTTGTGTTTGATGACCTGATCCGCAGAATATCTACCAACGAGCATGCGCAGATTGCGCGAGACCTCCTTCAGGTCGCTTTCGCCGTCTTTCAGAGGTGTGACATCAGAGTCCTGTTCAGGGTAGTCGGCCGAGGTCTTCATGGACACGAAGCTCGCAGTCTGGTCCACGTTGTTGTAGGAGTCCATGCAGAGCCACCGACGGAGGCCGTATCGACCAAGCAGCATCTGGACAGACACATCGTAATTATACAGAATCCGCATGGGACTCGAAATCATTAGCAGCAAAGGGATATTTGTGTGCTCGGTCTACAGTACGTTACGTCCAACATTATCAATACAAATTGATCGCAAGGGACAGCACAAACTCATTAGGACCAGGATATCACTTTTATCAGGAGATTTATTTTCCGGCACGCCATAATCATGATGAAAATTCACATCACGTTTTCAAGATTATTGAACTGCAACGTTACTAAAATTATTTTAATGAGAAAGCAAATTGGTTTTAGAAATGCATTATGCCATCACGTAAGCTCAAAATAATATTTCTCAACTTCTTAAATAGTCTCAAATATTCAAATTCCTTTTATTGAATATTGTTAGTTATTAAGAGATCTATACTCCATATAAATGCATATATAGCTATATCTGGAATCTGATAAATGATACGTGAGGCACGTTATTGTTCACAAACAATCAATTCCTAAATGGGGCCTTGTTGGCGAGTTTTCTCAACGCAGTTATACTCCCTGAGCTGTGGCAGGATCCGCATAATTTGATTTTGAATCCAAGATTTACCCTGATTATTGTCTTTGGTTTGACAACGTCACAACCGTGTGCAGGAAGTAGTGAGTGAGTGAGTTTGGTTTTAGGGCTTCATACATTGCGCCCATGTGGGGAATCGAACCCGAGCCTTCGGCGTGACAAGTCAACGCTTTAACCACTAGGCTACCAAACCGCCCCCGTGCATGAAGTAACCAAAAGACAAATATTCGTCTTTGAAAACTCAATCAAACTGATACTCAATGTTCGTACGGAATATTGTTCAAAACAGTGTTGAGCTGTTAACATACACAAACAATTCAGATACACGTTTCAGTTCAACTTGGCAAGGCAGTTATCATTAAATACCTGTTCAAAACAGTGTTGAGCTGTTAACATACACAAACAATTCAGATACACGCTTCAGTTCAACTTGGCAAGGCAGTTATCATTAAATACCTGTTCAAAACAGTGTTGAGCTGTTAACATACACAAACAATTCAGATACACGCTTCAGTTCAACTTGGCAAGGCAGTTATCATTAAATACCTGTTCAAAACAGTGTTGAGCTGTTAACATAATTCAGATACGTTTCACAAACAATTCAGATACACGTTTCAGTTCAACTTGGCAAGGCAGTTATCATTAAATACCTGTACAAAACAGTGTTGAGCTCTTAACATACACAAACAATTCAGATACACGCTTCAGTTCAACTTGGCAAGGCAGTTATCATTAAATACCTGTTCAAAACAGTGTTGAGCTCTTAACATACACAAACAATTCAGATACACGTTTCAGTTCAACTTGGCAAGGCAGTTATCATTAAATACCTGTACAAAACAGTGTTGAGCTCTTAACATACACAAACAATTCAGATACACGTTTCAGTTCAACTTGGCAAGGCAGTTATCATTAAATACCTGTACAAAACAGTGTTGAGCTCTTAACATACACAAACAATTCAGATACACGTTTCAGTTCAACTTGGCAAGGCAGTTATCATTAAATACCTGTACAAAACAGTGTTGAGCTCTTAACATACACAAACAATTCAGATACACGTTTCAGTTCAACTTGGCAAGGCAGTTATCATTAAATACCTGTACAAAACAGTGTTGAGCTGTTAACATACACAAACAATTCAGATACACGCTTCAGTTCAACTTGGCAAGGCAGTTATCATTAAATACCTGTTCAAAACAGTGTTGAGCTGTTAACATACACAAACAATTCAGATACACGTTTCAGTTCAACTTGGCAAGGCAGTTATCATTAAATACCTGTACAAAACAGTGTTGAGCTGTTAACATACACAAACAATTCAGATACACGCTTCAGTTCAACTTGGCAAGGCAGTTATCATTAAATACCTGTACAAAACAGTGTTGAGCTGTTAACATACACAAACAATTCAGATACACGTTTCAGTTCAACTTGGCAAGGCAGTTATCATTAAATACCTGTACAAAACAGTGTTGAGCTGTTAATATACACAAACAATTCAGATACACGCTTCAGTTCAACTTGGCAAGGCAGTTATCATTAAATACTCAAAGTACAAGCATATTCGTAATGCGGGCACAGTGACGCCATGATTGATAATGTGAATAGATGATGCTGTGTCTGTTCTTTTAAATGTTCCGTGGCCTTTCCCTTGAACTTACACGCTCACTAAAACCTATCACAACATAAAGGGGATATCTAACACATACGTATCATCGGAAACAGTGTTATCGTACATAGAATTTAGGCTCGTTGTTTCCTTCCCTTTCCGTGCATGCTGTGCAGCCTCCATTGTCTGTGCGAGTGTATACAGCACATTGTCCATCCTGGCTTGACTAATCTTGTAAAAAGCACAGTGACTAAGGTAATTTGAATCAGCTATATTATTACTAATACACGACATATGAATGTACATGGTTCATGTCAAATTGTTCGCTAACGAATTTGAAATGTCAAATATAATTTATAACGTAATAAACCATCATAAATATTCACGATGAAACTTAACACATGCTGATACCATTATCCGATATTTAAAACCCATCATTCTAACAAATATGATTTTCCAATAAAAGTCAAGGCATTTTCCTAATTTTTCAAAAGGCCTCTGATTCTTTGCAAGAGCATTAAACTTTAAAAAGTTAGATACATTTGCTGGAAGCAGAGCAGATTGTGCCATTGTGACAATATCATGATCATGTGTGTATGTCGAACCGGTTTTACGCGACACAAACACTTGCCAAAGCAAGTCAATTATTCAACAGAGAAACAATACGAGAACATACGGTACAAGTTAATATGTGAATTGCATCGGACACTATGTCTGCCACTGATCCGTCCAATTTGGACAGGCTCTCCAAATATCTACTACAGAACCGTTTAAAGGTGGTCTGAGGCCTTGAAACATGAGACTAGTACAACGGTCTCATAGGGATCCTCTATTTCTGGTTCAGACAGTAAATCAATGGAAGGATATTGGATATCCGATTATTATTGTACGAAATCTGATCATGGATTTACTTCTTTGTCAAATGACGTCGTCTCAGATGACTTTTAAAGAAATGCCGATTCCAATGCATAGAGAAACAAAAGAAGAGGAGCAGATATTTCTTTCCATAGGGATATGTATTTCTTGACTGACTGTTTTCTTGCACTTAAGCTCACAAAGATGTTATCAATGAGGAACTTCGGCATGTCACATGTTGTTTTCGTGCCAGTTGGTCCTGAACTACTGTAGTCAGATATGTAGATGTAAATAATAGCAACAAAACCCTTTCTCCATCCCTTAGCAAGTATACACTTCTTACTATATTATGACCATGTGTTTGTTTGCTTGTTTGTATGTTTAACGCCTCACTCAGTAATATTACAGCAGCTTGACGGCAGTCTGTAAATAATCGAGTCTGGACCAGACAAACCGGTGATTGACGTCTTGAAATTTGTGGTCACCGTGTTTAGAAGCGAAATTTCATAGGATTAAGGAATCAAGTTCGCTGTGGGTTTATTATGTGTAACTGCGGACTACACGGTTGAAAAATCAAATGTTTTGACACATTGGAACTTGGTCCTTTTGCGAGGTTTCATAAATTCAAACATATCCTATGCGTTTATCAGAACCCACACGGTATTAACACCACTTTTCTCAAATACGTTCTGTGAATATAAAGTCCTTCTTTGCTAGTACTTGGGATTATGGTTCATCTTTGAGATATGGATTTGGTGGTATATTGGTGGTCAAGCATATTGTGCGTGATGTTGGTACTTGTAGTTGGAGCCCCCTTTGGATCTGAGTGAGCGACATGGCTAGTATCTGTGAATAAGACTGGACAGGTAGGACGGAGCTGATACACCTAGGCACTTGGACACCGGTACCAGTATCTTCAATGGTAATCAATGGAGGTGTTTGCAGGACGGTGTTCTGTGGTCATACTTCCTGGTATTGTTAAAACCCTGGCAGCAGTGTAGTTGGACCTTTTGTAGTTTATATAATCAATACATTTGTCGTGTTTATATGCGGAAAAAATCATGTACATTCCATATATAATTAATATTCAGAAAAAATATTGCTTCAGTTGTGCCTCTCACGCAGGTCTCCTGTTTGTATTGTCCAGAACATCAACTTATAGATTATAAAATCTATTGTGAAATCAGCACTAGTAGATATATGCACGAACTCCTTATCTAACTCACCGCCAGTATACCTGGAGAGGGATTACGTCGGTACTGATATCACCTTGCTCGACGCAACGGAGAATTTAATGATATACGAGTTGCCTCCCTTTTCGTACCCTGACTCAATGATGTGCCATTTACCAGGAAAAGATTACAGTTTATCACAATATTAAATGTTTGCATTTGTGCTTTGAATTTGAGTACTTCCCGAAACCTATGATAAGAACAAATAATTGCCCATCACATAAAAGGTGTTTCTAAAATATTTTCTCATTAAGAGTTCTCTGTTCCAAAAACAATGCCTGTAACCATAGTAGCTGGTTATTCTTATCTCAACCTGGACAGAGAGACATGACTTAACTTGAATCATCCTGCCAGCGTTTAGACAGCAAACTCTGTCAAAAAGGGACTCGCTGTATGTGTTTTACACGTGTTTTACACATTTAACAGAGAGTGATACATTACAAACATGTATGACATACATGTTAATGAAACAAGTACAAACTATCTTAATAATTCACTTCCATCCCACCCTATCATAATCCTGAAACCAGAGGCATATCTGCTGCAATATTTAGCTGCCAAAACAGAGGCACATTACTAAACAGCTCCTTCAGACTATGGACTTAGTAAATATATTTGGTTTACTATGTGGGCAACTTACTGAACTCAGGCATGCGGGAACAGACTTCCCTGTGCTGCCTCGCCTCGACGTGGACGTCACCAACGTCGCCATGATGATGCTCACGCTGGACAGTGCCATCGTCACCACGTAGAACACCGCTGCCAAGTAGACCATAGAACTCGAGATGATGTGGGGTTAATAAACTGTTCATATGTTTAACTCGTGCAGTAGTTTCATTAGTTCCGGATATTTTAAACATAAGAAATATTCCTTCTTTAATGGCATTTATGAAATTATCTATTTAACAAAATCACGCAGTGGTTGCACTTTGTTTTATTTGATAAAAAGAATATTTCATTGCACATTAAATTATTATATTATAATATTATTATAGTTTCAAAGCAAATTTGAGGTCCCAGTGTACACAAGTGTTCCCATATCTATTGGTCTCAGAGAGTAATTCTGGAGACTTTAACCTCAAAGGATTGGGTTAAACAAACATCTTAAAACCTACGCCAGGAGATGTGTAAATGTAAAGGCAGATGGCGACTCTAGAAGGCGAAATATATGGACATACTAATACATCGCCATAACATTGCCTTTCACTACATGCTGATACAAATAGTTTCAGCTGTATCTCCCGACCAGCATTCCTGGAGTGGGTAAGATAGGGGTCTCTACACCCGTGTAATCATTTGATCACTGGACATCACATTATCCGCAACTTGACATCAGTGAAGGGTCAAGCCCTAACCTTTACTGTAGCGTGGCGCTGGCTGTTCATAGCTATATAATATCCCCAAAATGTATTTCAGAATTGCCTTCAGGAGAAGGTGCACTGGTGGGTATTTATATGTTTAGTGTGTGTGGAAGATGAAGAGGCGATGATTACCTATGTTTGGAGTTTCGGACCTGTTAGGACCGAGGATGTCACAGAAATGTTTCAGCAACACTGTCAAGCAGATGAGGACACATGCACCTGGAACACAAATATGGGCAAAATATGTAAGTTTCTTGACAACAAAGTTAAGGTGAAAGGGGATAGATAATGTGTCAAAGTTAGAGTACCTAGAGTTGTCTTTGCTGTAGAGTCGACGTGCATTAGAAAGATCACTGGAACCAGAAGAGAAATGAGGACGGCCGGACCGACAACGACGCAATGGTAAAACTGGGATTTTCGAACAAGGCGCACGCTCACGCTGATGTAGTCAACTAGTTCGGGATCAAACAGTTGACCAATGGTCTTCTTAACAGTACTAGCTTTGGCCGTCCATTGACTGCCGATATTGGCCTCGAGGTCAGCCTGGTCATGATTGACGTCATCATGTCCAGGGTGCAGGAAATGGAGCCTGATGAGCTGAGAGGAGTAGGAGGTGTCGAGCAACGTTATGTGACACAGGTGGGAGTCGTAGGGGAAGTTGCTGATGTTGATGGGGCATCTGCTCCTGACTCGGTAGTGAGAATACAGGGAAACATCGCCAGTTGCTGCTATAGACGCCAGGTCGTGGGATAGGTGTTCAAAGAGCCATACATCCTGCAACAAATGGAGGTTTACAGTACCATGCATCCTGTCCACATCTCAAAGTACGTTCTGAGTGGCTGTGCCTTTACATTATAGAACTCAAGAATATACTGATAGCTTAAGCATCAAAACGAATATAAGGAGTAACCAAGGATACAGTTTTCATGCACCGTAGATATTTAGAACCCTTTTCTAATTCGGTCCTAGCGTTAAGCGTAGTGATACGGATCCCAGATCCCAGGGTGGTCGCACAGCAGTCACGTGGGAGGTTCAGGAGACTGTTGATGCCCTGGAATTGTGTCTGAGCTTGTACCACATGACAACGCCGTGTCTGATTGAAGTAAAGACTTACGTGTGTAGCATACTGAAGTCGGGCTTCCAGATCTGCGAGGCAGGCACTGACAATGAGGATACGCCTCCATACTGACTCGTGTTCCAGCTCAGCCGAAAATCTCGCCAATACTGAAACAGTTAAATTGTGACATTATGTATTGTAATAGTACACGATCACTGCCATCAACACAGTGTAGGTTAATCTAAGATCTCCATTGGCCTCCCAATGAGACCCATTTTCTCTTATCTGGGTGAAGACAAAACTTTGTCATCATAATACGGCTGCCTCCTGTTTGCCGTACCTGTCCATGAAGATACTTGCCGCCAGTGCATCGTTGTGAATGAGATGAATTGAGGCGCTACATCTCGTCACAGGGTGTCATAGTGAATAGAACTCATCGGTGCAGCAAGGAAACATATACTTTAAGCCTATTTTACCCTGTTCAATAAACACTTCAGCTTATGAGATGTGAAGATCCGGATTAGAATTGATCTTTCAGTAACCCATGCTTGTCGTAAGAGGCTACTAATGGATCGGATGGTCAGGCTCGCTGATTTGGTTGACACATGTCATCGGTTCCCAACTGTGCAGATCTATGCTCATGATGTCAATCATGTATTGTCTGGTCCAGACTCGATTATTTACAGATTGCCGTCATATAGCTGGAATATTACTGAGTGCGGCGTTAAACAAACATATTTTGATCTGTACAGCCACATTTTGCCTTTAGGAATTTATGCAAAATCATGACCGATTCTAAAAAAATCATATCTTCAAATAATATAGTGTCACAACCTAACCTGCGCGGAGTTGCGTGACGTCTTAGGATTCCCCGAATGATTGTCGAGATTTGTAAGAGTAATATTGTCTAGTATATGGTGTGTTAATACTTACCGTCTTTAATAATAAAGATGCCGACAGCTCTTGAGAACTTTCATCCTGAAAGAGATCAACAAAGATACATGTATTAAACATGAAAATGTGCCATCATGCTTATTAGGTAAGCGTGTTACCATAAAACAAGGTGTCTGTCACTTACCAGATCTAAACTGTGAAGATCCGAGTTATAATTGGTCTTCAGCAACCCATGCTTGTCGTAAGAGGCGACTAACGGGATCGGGTGGTCAGGCTCGCTGACCCTATCGGGACATGTAATAGTATCCCAATTGCGTAGATAGATGAGCATGATATTGATCACTGGAATGTTTGGTCTAGACTCGATTATTCACAGACCGACGCCATATAGCTGGAATATTGCTGAGTGCGGCGTTAAACAATAAACTAACAAAACAAAACGTACCAGATCTGTGATGGCGGTAACCCCCACTGCCAACCTGACGGTGAGAGTCTGGTTAACGCTGGCGGGACGAAGGTGACGGATGTAGTGGTGGTCGTCCAGGAGATGAGAGAACAGATGCGACTCGTGGTCCAGCTCCTCCAGAACATCCTCCTCGTGGGGGTGACCTGGCGTGCAACATGTCCAATATGAAACATCTACATAAGGGATGCTGTATCCACACCGGCTGATACAGATACACTGTACAAATGTATTCCGAAGTGAGTTATAATTCAAATAAGCTTCAAATACGACTTAGATGCATCTCCGTTCATACCTTGTTCTGAAAATAACAGATTTTATTTGACATACTGTTGAAACCAGTAGTCGCTTAATTTCTCATTACTCGTCATTCCTGCATGTATGCCATACACAAAACAAAATCGCTGTTTGTTGCAAACCTACTACACACCTACGAATGTAACTTATTACCTTACAAAATAGAATTATCATTGTTCACAATAGAATTCTTTTACGTTCACCTGAATAACAAATTAATGCGTCAGTATATATACTGCAATGCCATTCAGATTGTACAGGTCCAACAAGTCACTGATAACCTTCATCAAGCGACGGTGAGTTCATTAATAAAATTCATTCCACATATGTTCACATTCTTGATATGTAGTTGTTGTCATGCCTTTTTAACAACAAGGTTCACATCATAGGTCAATAACCACACGCCTGATGTCAGATTAACGTTTTCGTCCGTCGTCCGTCGCAGGTCCAGCTGAGGTTAAAATATCTTCTTCTACCGACAATCTACTTAACATATCAATATCATGTATTCCTGAAACATGTTCTACGTGTTCCTGGCTACACTAAATCATGTGAGTGAGTGAGTTTAGTTTTACGCCGCACTCAGCAATATTCCAGCTATATGGCGACAGTCTGTAAATAATCGAGGCTGGACCAGACTATCCAGTGGTCAACAGCATGGGCATCGATCTACGCAATTTGGGATACGATGACATGTGTCAGCGAGCATAAGTCAGAGAGCCTGACCACCAGATCCCGTTAATCGCCTCTAACGAAAAGCATGGGTTACTGAAGTTCTAACCCGGATATTCACGGGTACCCAAATCATGTTAATATAACCAAAGACCGCAAACACAACAAATAACAATTTAGAATACAGCATTCGCGTCTATCAATTGTCCTACATTACAATAGAAATGCTGTTAAATCGACTGTTGATATAGGGTAACATGCAGTCGCTTAACACCCGGGACCAACGTATGTCAATGTACATACGTTTCGCTGTGTCCCGACTTTATGCATTACCGGTAGACGAACTATTACAAAATAGGGTTTCAGGGGTTTAAGAACTGCTAATGAGGCATGTCATGGGTTGTAAGTTTCAGGGCAATTTAGTGTCAGCACACACGTTTTAGCACACCCAGCCAACCTTCTTCACCTCTGATATTCTGGTCAGGCTCCTATCATATTGGAATCAGAAGACAATGGCTGGTTAAGCTGGGATCAAAGTCTAACCAAGGAAATTTGTCAAACGAAGTTTAAGTTCAGCGATCATTGGCAACTCCCTCAACTGATTTAATCATCCGAACAAGACATAACACGTACCAGTGAAATCGAGTCATCATAATTAGGTCTATGCAAAGAGGTGAGTGAGTGAGTTAAGTTTTACGCCCTTTTTAGCAATATTCCAGCAATATCACGGCGGGGGACACCAGAAATGGGCTTTACACATTGAATCCCCAGTTAGGGAATCGAACCTATGCAGAGAGGTATGGAGTATCCACCAAAGTGGATGACAAGAGGAATGACTCCCAACTTTCCCGTTTAACTTTCTCTTGTTTGAAGATGTATCATGCGAACTCCAAAATGGGGTTAAGGTATAATCGAGAATGTTCCTACTCCAACATTTCAAACAGCGTCACACGATTCCTGCTGGAAGGTTTCACCATAATCATATCTAAGTGATTAGTTAAGCTATCAGTATGTGTTAAGGTCGACATAAGGGACAATTCTGATACAATTCCCGATTTGAACTTGTACGGTATATTCCCGTGTTTGGTGAGCTACACACATCTACCGATGCAAGTGTTTATAAAGGTGCACACGGAGGGACAGGATAGGCACGTCATTTAGCGAACACCTCGTTCCATCTCAGGTTGACAGTGATTCATGAAGATGTCTTCTGACGTGAATCAAACGGCGGGCCATTTGGAAATGGTCGCCTTCATGCAAAGACCTTTGACTTATTATTGTATGCTTTGGAATCTGTTCAGGAATAACTATAACGGGTCAGGAATACCTATAACGGGTCAGAAATACCTATAATGGGTCAGGAATACCTAAAACGGGTCAGGAATACCTATAATGGGTCGTGAATAGCTATAACGGTTCAGGAATAACTATAACTGGTCAGGCATACCTATAACGGGTCAGGAATACTCATAATGGGTCAGGAATATCTATAACGTGTCAGGAATACCCATAATGGGTCAGGAATACCTATAACGGTGTCATGTTTGCACAAAGCAAGTAAGTACGCAATGTTCAATTCTGTTCTCCGTTTGTGCCAGTAAATTGTCCATCTGGCTTGTGAAAATGTGGGTAGGCACATGGAACTGTTACTGATTTTGTAGTAATCCAGTCAAAGAATTTGAGTCTTAAGCCAATGGAATAGGTTTCGCCTGATAATCGTGACTGTTTATTCTGTGCCGTGGACGTTGATTATGATGGTATGTGTTTAGTTTTAGATTCAGTGCTGAAATACAAACACTGATCACCCATTAGCCATTGCATTTACGTCAACATAAAGTATATGCGCCTTATCAGTATAATTATACACATGGGTAAGCATAAATACAATGGATACCGACTGTTTCAATAAAACAACTGTTGTGTATTTCAACCACTGAGCACCCAGTTCACCTGACCGTAGGAGTAGTTTCACTCTAAATCATGCTTTCATCTAGCCTTTCCTTCTGGCACACAAAACGAACTAATGGCAAAATGATCATGGCTGTATGTCAAAGCATGAAATACCATGACGGAGCCACGTCCATTAACTAAGTACCAGTCTCTGACAGAGTCATCTTACACACATTGTTTGCATACTAAATCACAAAACCAATGTGGTGGTTAAGAATGCTTGAAATGAGCCCTCACGCTTTGCAAGCCCTTACGCGTTTGTTTTAAAAAACAGTTTGATTTGCGCTGGCCTTGTCTTTCCTTGTCGGAATGATGACAAACCTAATTTTCTTTGAAATGAACGCGAAAATACCAATTACAAAATGTCAGCAAGCATGGATTAAGATGGATAGTATTTTACATTGCATCGCTATCTCAAGGATGATCATTTGATTTGTCTTGACACATATAGGGATTTCTCTTTGTGTGATGATATATCTTTGTGTTGACTCAAACACCAAATACTATGAAAGGTCACATCCGATTCCTAATGATACGTGCCATGCTTTCTGAACAATGTCTATGTGTGAGAGTGTATGCATAAATGGATTGCTCGGGTCCTAACAACATTGCAGAGATATAATTCTAACCAGAGCACAATGTTGCCAGCAATATCTTACATAAACATTCTCAGGATTTCCTGAATTGAAGGAAATAAAATATAAGTTGAAAATGTAGCATGACAACAATTACGGACTAAACATATTCTTCAATAGTTGGGATGGGTTAACTGGAAATTAGTTTATCGTATCAAATCTTCGGCATTTAGAAGGCATTAGTTATACTGATACGGGAGTGAATTTATGGATGCCAAGTTCTGAGTTTTACTAATTTTACTAACTCCGTCATTCACGTGATTCACGTTGATTATTGAAACTGGAGATAATATACGAAATACTAGTATAGCCTCAACATGTCTTCAATACAGTCGTTATTAGAACGAATATAATTCATGATTATGGAAAAAGGACATTTATAATACTGGGTATAGACTATAGTCATGAAATATCTTCAACATCTGTTGTTATCAATTTAGAGCGGAACGAATATAATAACTGATGGTTAAATTAGACTTGTATAATAATGGATATATGTAATCATAATATGGCTTCAATCAGAGCAGAATGAATATAGTTACTGGTTATTCAAGCCAGACATGAATACCATTGGCTACTGTTATATCAGTTCAATCAGATAAGTGCGAATGCAAAGAGTGATTATAGTGAAATGCCGCTTTCATAACACCACTGACGTCAACCTGGGAATCCAATCGCGACCGTTCATTTTTCAAAACGTTTTGTTTATACAGCTGCAAAACCAAAACCAAATAAACAAAAGACACATCTCCCACAAGCATCAAGCAGCAGCTATAGAGTCACCAGAGCATAATGCTGAGACTAGGGCATGTTGCTCAATATTTATAATGATTATTTATGCTCTATTTCATGTTGTATTACCGTATTAGGTATTTTAGTCGAATATTGTCATATCAATATAATATGTATTGAATCGCATGTCACAATAATGCTCAATGCGCAAAGATGACATCAGCCACACTTTGAAACAGGTGAGTTATTTCAATGAGAGAGACACTTTGAGAAAGCTGTTGATTCTGTGACATGATGAGTTCAGTATATGTATTGAATCGCATCACAAACGTACAAAGATGACATCACAATTGTTATTTCAATATACTTGGAGGCTGTTGAACATTCTTAGCAAAACGTGAAAGAGAACAAAAAATTATATTATGACATATTTCACACGTACATACTGTCAGTAATAAGTTTCAATATGCGTAAATGATAACACAATTACCATAATGATAATCTCTATGACTTTAAATTCGACTATATCATAGGCATGTGTTGATGAAGCACTATTACATTGTGATGGTACCACGTGTTCCCGACAAGGTGACATGTCTGTGTAGGTCAACAAGCTTGTCACTAATGTCAGTCATAAAAAGAAAAGTTGGAAAGTTGAAGTCATCCCTCTTGCCATACATACAGTCATGTCTTTCCGAATGCGTTTGTCTAAAGATGATACAGTTAAGGCAGTTTTATCGGCCTCTTGCATCGTACAGTCTTGTGGAGAACTTCCTGTCACTCTGAATCATATTTTCAAGGGTATCAGCAAACGTTATGTTAATCTGTCCACGATACATGTACACTGAATTTGAATGCAAGGGAGAAACATTTTGCTCTTACTTTTGACGAACAATAACACTCTTGTAATGCCTGCATGGCAAAGAACAAACCATTGCCAGTTCATTGTTGCAAGGAAATCGTTCGCACATTAAAATTTGACTTTATCTATTTGCCCTGTACTTTGTACTCGTTCTACAGTTTGTACAGCGTCGGCGCACAACTTTGCTTAAAAAGCCCATGTATTTACTTCGATGTTATACCGGAAATGAACAAATGCATCTGTGCAGCAAAAAAGTCCAAAAGACAAATAGTCCAACTCCGTCTTTGCAAAATACATAAGGGAAGTGTAAACTTTGTCTTTACAGACAAGGAAAACATAGTGGAAAAGGTATTCATTGTCAAAACTAACCTCTATCACATTGGCTGCATTCTTCGATCAGTCAATTTTAAATTAGAACGGTTTAACTTGACCTTGTGAAATCTAGGTATTAAAGCCAACTTTCAGAGACTGTTAATATAGCTTTGAAAATGCATCATTAAAACTACTGTTTCAGTGACAAATTTCAGTAACATGAGGATTGCAGTTACGTTATCTAGCCAAGTAGAAAGTTTGTCTCTGCCCATTAAGAGGGTATTCAACTTGAAATTGCTATTTCTGCTGGACCAAGGGATGCAACCCTTCACACCTAACAGAAATGCCATAGATCACTTGCGTGTTCGGTTAACGGTGCTGAACATCAGCAGCTATATACCTGGTGTGAGCTGGTGCTACAGCAGTATCTGTCCATGTGGTCAAGGTTGGTAATAAAGATATAACATTTTCGTCAACATGCAGTTACTTATACAAATTAAGTGTTTGCCCATGTAATATATTTTGGCAATACCACTATTAAGTGCTTGTCGGTGTAACAAAAATTGGCCATATCACACTAAAGTGATTGCCATTGTAATAGATGTTGGTAATATAACTAAGGTATAAAGCGTTTGTCTATGTTATACATTTTGGCAATACAGGTATAAGGATTTATCCATGTTATACGTGTTGGCAATACACATGTCAAATGCTACGTGTTTGCCCGTGCAATAAATTTTGCTATTACATCTAAAAGGTGTTTGTCCATTTGATGGATGTTGATAATACAACTGTAAAGTGTTTGTCTATGAAATACTTGTAGGTAATACAACTATAAAGTGTTTGTCCGTGTAATGAATGTTGGTAATTCATAAATACAACTGTAAAATGTTTGTCCATGTAATACATGTTGGTAATTGATAAATACAACTCATAAATGTTTGTCCATGTAGTACATGTTGGCAAATTAAACTTTAAAGTATTAATCCATGTAATACATCATGGTAATTCAACTATAAAGTATTTATCCTTGCAACACATGTTGGTAATTAATGAATACAACTGTTAAGTACTTGTCCATGTAATACATGTTGGTAATACAACTATAAAGTATTTTTCCATGTAATACTAGTACATGTTGGTAATTCATAAATACAACTGTTTAGTGTTTGCCGATGTAACACGTGTTGGCAATAAAACTGCCAAGTGTTTGTCGATGTAAAACATGTTGGTAATACAACTTTTATGTCTTTGTCCATGTAACTCATGTTGGTAATAAACCTATAAAGTATTTTCAATGTAATACACGTTGGAAATACAACTGTTAAGTGTTTGTCCATGTAACACATGTTGGTAATACAACTATAAGGTATTTGTCCATGTAATACATGTTGGTAATACAACTGTAAAATGTTTCTCAATGAAATACATGTTGGAAATACAACTGTCAAGTGTTTGTCCATGTAACACATGTTGGTAGTACAACAGTAGAATGTTTGCCCATGTAACACATGTTGGTAATACAACTGTAAAGTGTTTGCCCATGTAACAGATGTTGGTAATACAACTGTCAAATGTTCGTCCATGTAATACATGTTGGTAACACAACTGTAAAGTGCTTGTCCATGTAAAACAACATAGTGTTTGTTTTCGAGGGCGGTAATATAGCAATGCAGTGTTTGTCCATGACGTAAAGATTGGTAATACAACTATAAAGTATTTCCCAAGGTCCTTAAGGCTTGTAATACAACTATAAAGTATTTCCCAAGGTCCTTAAGGCTTGTAATACAACTATAAAGTATATTTCCCAAGGTCCTTAAGGCTTGTAATACAACTATAAAGTATTTCCCAAGGTCCTTAAGGCTTGTAATACAACTATAAAGTAGTATTTCCCAAGGTCCTTAAGGCTTGTAATGCAACTATAAAGTATTTCCCAAGGTCCTTAAGGCTTGTAATACAACTATAAAGTATATTTCCCAAGGTCCTTAAGGCTTGTACAACTATAAAGTATTTCCCAAGGTCCTTAAGGCTTGTAATACAACTATAAAGTGTTGGTTTGTGTTCTTTACACATTGTAGGGTGCAAAACATGGATTGGCGCATGGGAACTCACTGGGTCGTACAATAAAAACGGCATCAGTCCCAAAAAGACAAACAACCACACATCCACGTGCATGCCCGTCACTCATTTAAGTAAATACATTGCTTTATACTGAGATCTAACTACAACGTAAGCATGTGATAAATCGTTGGTAATAGAACGATAGAGCTCCTTCCGTGTGACAAAGGTTGGCAACAGAACAATAGAGTATCAGCAGTGCAGAAATTACACAAGATGCCGTAAATTTCAGTTTCTTTTGCTGAACGTTTAAGTTCTACTTCCGTCTGAAGGTCTGCGCTATATGTATCAAAGTACAATGCATCCACTGTGCACATAGAATGATGGACCCTTCTTACCTCCAGACGATATGATGGTGCACAACAGACACAAAACTTTGAGCAGGCCGCCCTCGTGTGTATCCATGATGAACGGGACGTTGTCATGTGATCAGAAAACGGTTCTGTAATAAGACGGATGTTTGAACTGGAAGCAAACATCCCTTCACGCTGCAGTGTTTGAAGCTTCTTGTCAACAAACATTGGACAAGTTGGCATGTGGCCTGCTTTCGGGGAGGCAGAAGTGGCAGATGTTAACCAACAGTCTCAGTCCATCATCGGAATGTAATGATAACCATTATACATATATAAATGACACATCTTGATAGGAAATATGATTAGTATGTGTCTACGACTTGGCTGATAGTTTGGGTTGTATGAATGAATGAATATCTTTATTTCGGAAGAGCATAAAAAGGCAAATGCAGTATTTACAATACATTACTGGCATTACTTCAGTGTATGAAATGAAAGCATGCGATATGCTATACTGCTCTGTAATAAATAATTTACAATGTACAAATTGTGAGCTGTAGGGAGATTTTGTTTAGAAGGTGTACATGCCATGTACGATCTCTTGAATCTCAAGAAGTGTTATCAACAATAAGGTATATCTAGATCTCCAGAATGTTAACAAGCAGGGCCCTTATTCTCGAAACGTTCGTAGCCCTAAGAATTCTTAACTTTGATCGTAGCCAATGTGTTAAGAATGGGTTTAAGAAGTTCGTAGGGCTACGAACGTTTCGAGAATAGCTAGCCAGGTGTATCTAGATCTCCTGAATGTCAACAAGCAGGTTTATCTAGATCTCAAGAATGACAGCAATAAGATGTACCCTGGTCCCCTGTGTGTCAACAAGCAGGTGTATTTAGATCTCCAGAATGACAACAAGCAGGTTTATCTATATCTCCGAAATTCCAGCAGTAAGGTGTACCCAGGTCTCCAGAATGTACGCAATGAGGTGTATCTAGTTCTGAATGGTTTGCTTGTTGTGTGACATATCACTTGTCAATATTCCAGCTATATGGCGGCGGTCTGTAAATACTCGAGTTTGGGCCAGACAATCCAGTGATCTAAATCAACATCTACGCAATTTAGATACGATGACATGTGTCAACCAAGTCCTGACCACCCGATCCCGTTAGTCGTCTCTTACGACAAGCATGGGTTGTTGAAGAACAATTCTAACCCGCATCTTCACGGGTCATTACCTGAATGTCAAACATGACGTGTATCTAGAATTCCTTACTGTCAACAATGCCGTACATATTGACCTCCAGAATGTATACAACGAAGTATGCCTTAATCGCCTGAATGTCAACAATGAAGTGTATTTCGACATTCTGAAAGTCATACACGTCTCGATCTCTTGAATGTCACCAGTTAAGTCTATCTCACCTTCCTGAATAGTGTACAATATATCTTCAGAATGCCAGCAATGTAATATATTGAACATACTTTTGTGCTTATACCAATCCTTCAAACTAAGGAACTATTCCAGCGATATCTGACAGTTACAATCATAGATTACAGAGCAGCAGGTCACGTGTAACTACGTCACCAGTTGTTAGGCTGTGTGGGATGTAACTGAGTTGAATCCTGTGTGGATTGTGATTCTGAATTCCATCAAGGAGGTTCTCATTTTATTGGCACGATTGCAACCACTGTTTTTCCAAAAACATGGCTATGTCGTGACAGGACTAAAATATGAAAATCATACTGAAGGGGTTTCTCGTCTTATGTTAAGCCATCTTCGACAAAAGCCCAACACACTGTCACAAAATTCACTCCAGTTTCAGCTGTCACGTGTTGCGGTTTGACAAAGTTTCTCCGAACGTATCGTAGACATACGTCAGTGATGCTGACAAATGTCGACCACATCATAGCCCATGCTTGTCGTAAGTGCGACGGCCGGATCTGGCGGTCGGGTTCGCTGATTTGGTTGACACACATGTCATCGCATCCCAGTTGCGTAAACCGATGCTCATGCTGTTGATTACTGGATTGTCTGGTCCAGACTCGAATATTTACTGACCGCCGTCATATAGCTGGAATATTGCTGAGTGAATCAAAGGTAACTGTTGTGCCTACGTGTCGTCCACAATGGTCGAGTCAGGAACATAAACACCATATATACTAGAATGACAGTTTACTTGTTATATAAATATTAAATTAATCAATGATTAGAAAGAATGTTTAATGTAGATGAAATTAATACCAGTAATTGTGATTGAAAATAAGTGCATTTTCGTAACAAGCGTACTGACACATGTGTCTTCCAGCAGTGGGCAGTATGTTTCTATCTGGGAAGACAGATTCCTTCATTTCATAAACCTCAAAAAGTGTTCTTTTCAAAGAGGTCAAATGTACAATATGCGCTTTGTTCTTCATAAGAGGGGAGATTAGTTTAATGCATTGACAATCATCGGTGTGGGATTGTCAGTGTGTACACGGGACTAGCGTCGGAATCTAATAGCTGGGCCGTACGACGTGACAATGGGATGGTAGTCTAGAGCTGATGGCCTCAGTGTTCAGTGTGGATACGGCATAGAAGCCGATCACCTGAAGCTCGTCGGTTACCGGATAAGACCGCCTCCGTGGTGTAGTGTTTAGAGCGTCCGCCCGGAGAGCGGAAGGTCGCGTGTTCGATCCCCGACCGCGTCATACCAAAAGACGTTGAAATACGGTACGTTTGGTCCCGGCCAGGCGTTCGGCATTAATGGGTACAACAAGGACTGGTCGGAACTGGTCGCTTCACTGCGGCATGGTATCTCAGTGGGCTGGCACTATAAAACCAGCTTAAGTCTGGGCTAGTACAAGCAGCCACACATACACATACACACGCACGCACGTCGTCATATGAGCGAAATATTCTCAAGCACGACGTTAAACCCAATTTCACCTCACCTCACCCGGTTACCGGATAATCACCATACAGATCTGGGGCTCCTTTCACGAAGCAACCTTAACTAAGGTTAACCTTAACTCCCATTCTGTAACATTGCACTAAGGTTACCTTAGTGACTCACGATCACCTTAGTGCTTTGTGAAAGGAGGCCCTGGGATGTACATCAACCGTATTACATGCCCATATCTTCCAAAACACTTCAACCCGCCTCAGCTCAAGGAAGATTCACGCAATGTTCTGCTTGAAGGTCTCCAAATTGTAAATCATAAAAGCGTGCAATTATTCAGTAATAAACCCCAACAGACTTACAGTGTTGTGTTATGGTAATGATACAACATACTAACAGTCATGTGAGCACTCGCCTGGAAGTAGGAAGATTAGGAATGGCGTAAAGGATGAATTAACTAACAGGAATAGTTACTGTAAGGTCAACACGTTATGGTCAAAGTCACCTTCAGACTGATTCGCCAAATCTGAAGCGAAGAATCCAGGTGGGCTTCATGACTCAACCGTGGGAAAAGTCGAGGGGGTCACACGTGTGTCACGGTGGTCACGTTCCAAGCACTGCCTGGACAAAGCAATAGTGTAAGTCTGTGTTAAATTTATGCATGAGGATACAGTGTTGTCTAGGGGTTAAAGTTGTTCTTTCAAGAACACAAGGTAGGGTTGAAGTGATGAGTCAACAGACTATATCAGTGCGCTGAACGACAATACGGGTAGCGTGAGTGTCGGGTTACATCGTGAAGAGGGGAAGTGTGCTGTACTTTCTACACTCACGTCAGGCTTCTGGGTAATGTATGTGGACAATATGAACGTACAGTGTGTGTAAACATGAGCTTGAAATCCGGGGAACATACACATATTGATAGACGTTCATTGTGCATACTGCAAGTAGATCTAAATCGCATGCATAACAACTGACATGAAGGCCCATCTTTCTGTCCCAGTCACTCTTGTCAACGTAATGTCAGAGGATGGACTGACGGGGTATTCAGATGATGTACTCAAGGGGATTCAGATGATGTACTCAAGGGTTATTCAGGTGATGTACTCAAGGGGGATTCAGATGATGTACTCAAGGGGATTCAGGGATTCAGATTCAGATGATGTACTCAAGGGGATTCAGATGATGGACTCAGATGGGGATTCAGATGATGTACTCAAGGGGATTCAGATGATGTACTCAAGGGGATTCAGATGATGTACTCAAGGGGATTCAGATGATGTACTCAAGGGGGATTCAGATGATGACTCAAGGGGATTCAGATGATAGACTCAAGGGGGATTCAGATGATGTACTCAGGGGGGATTCAGATGATGTACTCAGGGGGGATTCAGATGATGTACTCAAGGGTGATTCAGAAGATGCACTCAAGGGGGATTCAGATGATGTACTCAAGGGGGATTCAGATGATGTAGTCAAGGGGATTCAGATGATGTACTTAGGGGGATTCAGATGATGTACTCAAGGGGGATTCAGATGATGCACTCAAGGGGGATTCAGATGATGTACTCAAGGGTGATTCAGAAGATGCACTCAAGGGGGATTCAGATGATGTACTCAGGGGGGATTCAGATGATGTACTCAAGGGGGATTCAGATGATGTACTCAGGGGGATGGACTCACGTGAGGGGTGGGGGATTTGGGGGATTCACATGTTGGACCCACAGGGGATTCAGATGATGCTCTCAAAGGGAATTCCGATGGTGGTCTCATCGGGGATTCCGATGATTCTCTCAGGCGGGATTCAGATGATAGACTCGCGGGAGATTCATATTATGGATTCACTGGGGATTCAGAGGATGGACTCACGGGGAATAACATAAAGGATTCACGATAGTACCGCACAATGTAGTATCTTCAACACAGATGTTCACACCAAATATATTATAAACAAGCACCCATGTATGTATTACTGACTGTTACAAGTCCATGATGGACACACAGAAACCGGAAAACTGCAGTTTGGTGTCCCCTTTTCGATACACTTGTTATCGTTCCGATGTCCGGCAACATTCTTCATGCTCTCATCCTGTCAACTGGCATATGCTTTAGGAATCGGAGAAACACTATACTCAATACACCTTTGCGGATACGTTCCTTCAGTGTGAACGGGTGTGGTGGAGCCAAGCCTTGGATGACCTTGAAACAACATGGCATGACACCGCACCTTTACATCTCGTGTCAAAACGTTGTCGTGAACACTGCGCTCATTGTCAAACCAACAGTCAGACATTTCATCTGTAATCCGGCTCCTATGTAATGTTTTGTTTGTTTGGGGTTTTAGCTTAATTTCTCAGCCGCCAATACCTCAGCTATCTCACGGTGCCATGTAAATAATCGGGACCAGATTTACCAAGGACTTTTACAATGAGCAACGAACGTGCCATACAGTCGGAGTACAATCACTTATCTGTTTAGTCACCTCATCCGACAAGAATGGGTGGGGGTCTATACTGGTGATCAATTGTAAGTCTGGATTCACAAAGAGGGAGCTAGTGCTCTAATCAACATATCTTCCCAAGACGGGAGTGTCCACAAGCCTATATCAAATTGGTGGTAATTTTACGTCTCAATGTTGTTTCGCCCAGCGACAAAACCAAGTCATCGGTTGAACATTATAAGGCAGATTACCCTTACAGCAAAGTTAGTATCGACCTGTCAAATATATTTTATGGCAATAATATTAATAATTACATTATATGTCTAAAACACGGGTTATAGTCCGATGAAGCAACCCTCGACAACCTTGCAGGCATCACGGGGACTTTCACGACCTCTGTTTTTCATGCCGGATTTACGTTAACGTTTTACTGAAGGTAAACCTATTTTTAAAATTCTTCCTGCTCAACCGACATGCGGTCCACATTACGTAAATTACGGTTCCTTTTCGTAAGTCTTGTCACAAAACACAGGGTGTTTGCGCTCATGGTTTCGTTTTCATGTTTTCTCAAATACCGAACTGCTACAAAAGTGGACATCATAACACAGTACATTTCGAAAGAGTGACAGTTCTAAGCGTGTAACATTATTTGTGGCGGCAATTTTCGTGTTGTCGTATTGGTGGGTGATGTGTGGGTTGTGGACGTCTGCTCACTCCTGACATCAGGCAGCCTATGAGCATCCAATGCATAGGCGGATCCAGAAGGGGGTGGGGTGTGGGGTGTGGGGTGTAGGGGATGTGTGCACCCTTCTTTCCTCATTAGTGTGCGCACGCACACACACGCACGCACGCACGCACGCACGCACGCACACACGCACACACACACACACACGTGTGTATCCGGCCCTGCAATGATTCGACATATTATTAAATCCGTTTTCAGTTTTAGAATCGGTTATTGATAACCTACTGTGGCAATCATGTATTGTGTCAAAGGGAGTCCAGGTGATATTTTCCAAAAGAACGTAGTGAGGTGTTCTTAACACTGTGGTACTTGATGGATACTCAAGTATCCATCAAGATGATGGACCACCCTTTTCGTGCACGATGGAAGGGAAATAACTCTTATTTTCTCTGCATTATTCAAATTGCCTGTGATGACTAGTCACTATAAGGTTTTGAAAAGGAATCAGTGACCATACATGCATTTATAGACAATGGGGAACAATCACGTATTTGGAAATGACTGTGTACATTACGAAAGGAGCATCAAGATTGTCAGGATGAAAAAGAAAGATGCCCTTCAAGATGTTCATTCCACTGACACTTACAAATATGCTAGGCCTGTACTTGTTCAGCTACCGGAGATATGTGTAATTTTATTACAATAAACATTGTACCGAGAAACTGATAAAGAAAATGTGTCGCAAAATCGTTCTTGTGTCTTGCGATTTCATCCTATTTCATCACTTTTATGTTACTACAAGCATGAATATTGTTTTGACTTTCATTATCAGACATCGTCAGCGCTCGAAATAACCATCGCGCGCCTTACGCCCGAAGATGACTGAAAAACACTCGGACCCACAACCTTTGTTTTCTACAGATCATTATCATGGCCTTCAACTCTTTCATGCCCGATAACTAAGAGCATTATTTCCATATTAAAATATAGGGCCTACATATTCCAATCAGGACCCACAACTTTTTATGGGTCTGGTTTAGGACCTGCAGCTTTTCAGGGTTAAGGGCAAACACTGGACACCGTGGTATTAATGTTCAGTGGTTTAACAGGGGATGTTGTAGAGCCATGCAGTTGGTTGACTGGGACATTTGTAAGCACTATGACCGATTTGAAATGTTGGGGGTTGGGGATGCATTGGTGGGGTGGCGGTGATGGACACCTGTACCAGTCTGTCAGTCCAGATCATGTACTTTGGCACCTAATCTAAAGCACACCATGCGATCTGGACTACCTTTATCATACTACCATTTTGTGTGGATGCCTGAGTGGACTAGATCGCTGTCTGTATGTACTGGCGATTTGAGTGTGGGCTCGAATCCGGGATGGGACTTAACTACAAAAACGGTATAACAATCTGTAATTGACAAACATAACATGTTACAAGTGACCACGTTCGATATGGCACTGTATATTCAAAGTTTTCGGTAATGGGAACCGGAGGAGTGCACAATAATTAGTAATGTACGTGATATTGACTGGGCCAGTTGTCAGACTTCCAGTTTTGGGGAAGCCTCGGCGGCTGAGTAGGTCAGGTGGTAATTAGGTGTCTCATTCATTCGAATACAGGATGGGACTCAACTATAAATAAGTACTTGAATCTGTAATCCCAAATACAACAGAAAAATAGGTGGCGATTGTGAAAATATTTAGTGGTATGTGGATTACTTGACTGCATTATTATCTCCCTTGGCGTGTGAAGCAAAAAGTTGTCACATGTTTATTAGACTTTGTAGTATCATTAGAATACACAGTGTGGCAGTTTTAGTCATTTCGTTTAGCTTTTGAGTAATGTTTCAATATATTAATGTTACAATACAATTTTAGATGGATTGCAGACTAACTTTCAAGACGTAAAATCGACATTCCTATTTACTTCGTTTCGCATTCATACTCGTCCTTTTGTAAATATATTTAACTGGTTTGCCGATTGTGTGGCGCATCGCATTGAAAATGTATTTTTCCACAGTGGTGTAGACAGGATCCCAGTCTAAAAATCAGTCGCTCTTGCATCAGGCACATGTAGGTATGCTTTGCTGAAATCTGTTAGCCGTTTAGTAGGTTTGTTTCTGGGCTATTTCCCGAATTTCAGTATGTTTTATAAGATTAACGGAGAATCGCACAGATTGGATCGTTCATATGTACTCCTGAGTGAAACCGTTTATCTTTAGTCTCATTCCCGTATTGGACATTTTCATGTTGAATCCTGGATCATTCAATATGGATCACAATATAGAAGACATGTCCTTTTAATGTAAAAACATCTACAAGTAAACAGAAATAGCAATGACCATTTAGAAGCAGGCTAATATTCATGTGAAGCCCAATTCCCCGCTCAAATCAACCTCAACTGTCTAGCTGACATATATGTGTACAATCGCAAATGAACAATTGTTGTTGAAATGCTGAATGTATAGGTTTGTCAGGCACCCTATATAGCTTCATTTTAAATGTTATATATCAATTCTTGCGTCAGAAATATTGAGATCAAACTGAAATGTCTATCCAATCATGAGCCATTGCACAAATCTAACCAGTCTGTCATCATGGGCGTACAAAATGTGTGATTCCAAGTTTTGATTGTTCAGAATAGCCTTGAGGTTTGATAGGTGTAGACCCGAGAACAGATCGAACATTTGCCTTGTTTTCAGTATTGTAAGATTTGGTATCTTCTTTCAGAGTTGGATAAACAGCCAAGATGGTACTGTCATGTCGATTTTACAAGAACAGATTCCCAGAAGTGGAGGATGTTGTCATGGTGAACGTCCGCTCCATTGCCGAGATGGGAGCCTATGTTCATCTGCTAGAGTACAACAATATTGAGGGCATGATTCTGCTCAGTGAGCTGTCCAGGAGACGTATCCGATCTATCAACAAACTCATCCGAGTGGGGCGCAGTGAATGTGTTGTAGTTATAAGAGTTGACAAAGATAAAGGTTTGGTGTGACTTCTTGTGTTAATATCTCATACTTCTGTAGGGGAATTTGAAGTTTCTTTTACATTCTAATGTCGTAAAAGGATTCATGTAAACTGATACATTCAAGAATCAATTCAGAAATTGGCAGTATATCTTTATGCTTCATCCAGATACATTAATAGGATTTTATGTGTTGGATATGTAAATACGTTTTTCAGTACATGTTCCATGGTGCCCTTACTGACATGGCTCAAAAGGTTATCTGTTTTCAGTGTGTGCCAAGTTATTCATTACTTAAACCCTGAGCGAAATAGTAACATCTCAGAAAAAATATTTAGAACCAGTGTCTGAGATTAGAAAAAAAGAGCTGTTAACATGGTAAGAATAATTATGATGTCCCCAATGAAAGCTCTAATCATGGTAATACAAATAGAAGATTGGACTTGGAAGGGTCTTCCTCAGTTGACCGGAGCACATTTTTATACAGTAGGACTGGACTGTTGTTCCCTCTAGGAGTAAACTGCCTCCGTGGTGTAGTGGTTAGAGTGTCTTCCGGAGAGCGGAAGGTCGTGGGTTCAATCCCCGGCTGCGTCACATGAAAAGACGTTAAAATATTGTTGTTGTTGTTGGTCCCTGCCTGGCGCTCTGCTTTAATGGGTGTAACAAGGACTGGTCGGCTCGGAGTCAGTATAATGTGTCTGAGTGGGATATTCATAATTAGCTGCGGCATGGTATCTCAGTGAGCTAGCACTATAAAACCAGCTTAAGTCTGGGCTAGTACAAGCAGCCACACATAGACACGCATGCACGTCGTCATATGAGCGAAATAATCTTAGGCGTGACTTGAAACCCCATATAACCTCACCTAACCCTCAAGGAGTAGGAAATAAGGTCATCTGACATGAAACGTTTGCTGATCATTGTTGCTTGTTAAATGTTAAGAATAGTAAATGTTAGATCTTTAACTTGGGTTATGCTAATAATCTATTTTCCTCTGCTCTCAGTCACCCACCACCAGCTGTTTATTCATTTTATTTCTTTAAATTTTGCCAGGCTTCTGACATTACTGGACATATTAATAATATGATGATTATTCTAAAGAGAGCTGTAATCATGACAACTGTGAAGATGTCATAAGTAAGCACTCTACATTTTAAAGATGTGTTTTGTGTGAATATATTCATCGGGACTTAAATCTTGTACTGTACACCTTTTTAACCAACAGGATATATTGACTTGTCCAAAAGACGAGTTTCCCCAGAGGAGGTGGTGAAGTGTGAGGAGAAGTTTGCCAAGGCCAAGGCTGTAAGTCACTCCACCTTCTATCTGCAACACCTGTGTGAAAACATACCTGAGACATACCAGCTGATAATATTACTTCCCGTTGATGATGTCATTGTACATTATAAACATACAACTGTATTACCCACTATGTATTTACATCACATGTGAAAAGTGTTTTTGGTTATCGGATGGCCAATCAGATAGTGCTGTCAGTAGCACTGAGCAGTGTATTGTTCTGATGTCAAGCACTGTGATTTCAGGTACCTGACTCTGAGTTTGAATCCTGGATGGGACTCAACCCAACAAAAGTACTAGAATCTGTACTTTACTGAGAAAGTGTAATCTGAAATAAAACGTGTTTCATTTGACCACTTTCTAAATATACTACCGACAAAAAATAAGGGAACTGATGAAATGACAGTGAATGTGAAATTGCTCTGAATGTCCACTAAATCAAATGTGGGCGTAAAGTTCAATATCTGGTGTGTCCACCATGTTGGGCAACACATTCACGACATCTTGATGGCATACTGTTGATTAATTTCCGGATGGTTGCCCGTGGTATTGCCCGCCATTCCTCCTGAAGAGCTGCACCAAGCTGGGCCAGGTTGACGGGTGCGGGGTCCCTGGCGTACACCCTGCAACCGAGAATGTCCCATAGATGTTCAATAAGGGACAGGTCTGGGGACTTAAAGGGCCAGTCCAATGACTGTATGCCCTCTCGTCGGAGATAAGCTGTGACAATTTGGGCCCGATGTGGTCTGGCATTATCATCTTGGAATTCAAAATTACTGCCGATGATTCTAGCCAGTGGAGCCACGACAGGACGCGCAAAATTTCGATCAACGTATCGCTGACCAGTCAAGGATTCATTAACGATGACCAGTTCTGATCGCCTGTCATGTGTAACCCCGCCCCACACCATGACACTACCACCCCATATCGATCATGGTCAATAATTGCCGCTCTGGCATACCGCTCACCGCTACTGGCACCAACAACGCGTTTTCTGCCATCTGTGAATCTGAGGCAAAACCTTGACTCATCTGAGAACATGGTGTAACGCCAATGGCGCAAAGCCCCGCCCCTGATGCTGCCTAGCCCATGCCAATCTTTGGCCTATGGTGAGCTGTAAGAGTAACACCCTTGAAAGGTCGCCTTTGCTTTCAGATGTGCTTGAGAGAGCCGTTTTTAACGGTTGAGTGTGAAATTCGCCCAGTGTGGGGTAGTAATGGAAGCGCTTTTTCGTCACGCCCGAAGACCCTATTGATGGCAGGTGCTGATATGAACCTCCATTGTCAGTAGGGCCATTAATGTAATGAGACGATCCTGTCGTGGTGTCATTGATTTTGGTCTACCACGCCCAGGTCTCATTGCAACCCCACCCGTTTGACGGTACTTGTCCCACAGGCATGAAATTACACTTTTTGATTTACCCAACATTCGGGCAACTTGACAGAATGATGTCCCCCCCTCTATCATCCCCACAATTCTCCATTTTGTTTGTTCATTGAGATACTGCCTCGGAGGCATTTTTCAGCATATGTTCAACTCTCTTGCATTAGTGATTGTGAGTTCTCCAATACGTTTACAGTGGTTGACTTCTGTGTGCAAGTGCATCCCGTGTTGGTAATGCATCATGTGGAATTTCATTGTCATTGGATGTTGCGTTCGGGTGCAACGCTACGGTAACGCACCCTTTCACCTCTACGTTTGCTGCATTCAATTTCTTAGTTCCCTTATTTTTTGTCGATAGTATAGCATTGTGTATTCGTGGCTGTGACTTCACTGACTGCTTGTAGCCGTGTCTTGACCACATGGACTGCTTCTCATATGGTCAGCCACTGGTTTGCCTGGTCCAGACTTCAGGGTAAAGGTTGTGGTATTAACAATATAGCTCGGAAGTCGTGGAAAAGAACATGTGCTCTGTGGTTGTGTAGTGCTTGATTGCTTTTGTCTGTTTGCTCCAGGTAAACAGCATACTGCGACACGTGGCAGAGATACTTGGCTACACATCTGATGAACAGTTTGAGGAGCTGTACACAAAAACTGCATGGGCCTTTGACGACAAGTATAAGAAACCTGGTACTTCATATGAAATCTTCAAACATGCCGTTACGTAAGTTGTTTGGTTTTATGAAATAAAGTCACCCAGTATACGTCATCAACATGATCAAAGCTACACATTTTAGCTGCAGTAATGGATCAGTTAAGACTATTTTGCATTGTTATTGCCTGCATGCTTCTGCATCTTTGATTAACTTGTGGGAAAATAACAGGACTAGGCTTAATAAATTACCCAGTTACAAACACAGTTAAATAATAAATTACAGTATTTACCATGTTTACTGGAAGTTTTGTAATTGGATTCTTTTAATTATTTCTGGTATATGCAATCACCATGATGTGACACCAAAGTTTAACATGTCAACATGAGGTTTATGCTTTCATTAATTTAATGGTACTTGAATCATATATGAGTCATTTGATAAAAGATTTGGATAAATAAGTGTGTTGTTTCCGTTCCTTCACTAAAGCTCCGCTTTGTCCATGTACAAGGGGAAGTAACTCTTTCCTTATTTACTGACACGACATACACACTGTAACCAGCACATCACATTGTAATATGTAGATTAGTCAAACAATGATTATCGTTATGAACTCATTATATGGGGGTTGCCACTGATGACATTGCCACTGATGACATTTCCACATAACTACTGCAACAGTCAGTACTGAGTATAAGTACTGCTTTCAAGACGAAGTAATCAGATATCTGAGCTTATGTTCATTTAGATAAGTTTATGGAACAAATGATCCCTAGAAAATGGGCATGATTGGCTGTTGTTCATAATATGCATGATCTATTACAGTTTCTTTGAAGACTTTGAGGTGGATAGCTAGTTTCAAGGGCCTCACTCAAATGGCTCTATGACAATCTTCCTTGCATTTCACGAGAATTTTCTTAACCAACATGATCACCATTCACGCGATAACGACTAATCTTCGAGCTTGTTATACAAAAAATTATGTTGTTCTTGACAGCTTTCATTGGCATTGCATTGATTTTATTTATTAGCTACACTGAGCAGAGTGGACAAGACAGTGCAGGGCTCGATTTAGTGCTTTGTTACTTGCACTGGTGCAACCCAATATTATAAAGTGCAACCTAGTTATTACTCTAACTTGCACCAGGTGCAAGTCAATTTTTGAGTGGGTAAACTGCTGAATAAAACATCTAATTAATTCAATAGCATATTTCTTTCTTTACATATTGCAATAAAAGCAGTGCAACTGGAATTTGGATGGTGCAACTATGTTTTTATCTTAGGTTGCACCTGGTGTAAGTAGGTTAACATCCCTTAAATTGAGCCCTGCAGTGGTATGGCTCACTACAAAGCCACATAGGGGATATATAAACCATGCATAACACAAAGCAGTACTGGGTATGTGTTACTGCATGTGCTGGGAGTCAAAACTGCCCAGTTTAGATTGTGAATGTTGTTATTGCACATGGGCACCTTTGTTGGTGCCATGTTGAGTCATCCTTTGTAATAATCCGTGAAATAACATCAGGATGTGATATTCCATCATTAACTCTCCCAATTAGACATAAGGTTTCTTTGGGGAACAGTTGTTGATTGCATTGAGATAACATGCACAGGTGTTTGCCATATTGATAGAACGTGTGTGTGGTTCCAGGAACCCAGAGGTCCTTGATGAGTGTAACATTGATGACGAGACAAAGGACGTGCTGCTCCAGAACATCAAACGTCGACTGACACCACAGGCAGTGAAGATCAGGGCAGGTAACTAGTACACTTTCTATTGTCTTGCCCTCCGTTATGTGAGTGATGGGAGTTCGGAGACACCGCATACATTGGTTGGTTTCAGTCGGTGGGGTGATCTGTCAGGGACCTAACGTGATAAAATTTCCATGGTTTTGTGGCTGTAAATAAGCTTGTGTACTTATCATGCTCTATGTAATAATGCTAAACCTTCCGTTAATCCTGTTTATCTGAAGAACATATTAATTACAACCATTCTGCGCTGTACTATTTTCAGATATTGAGGTTGCGTGTACAAATTATGAAGGTGTTGATGCTGTGAAACGAGCACTGAAGAAAGGGTTGGAGTTGTCCACAGAGAACCTGCCTATCAAGGTACACTTTTCCATTCTGCTAGTATATCCTAGTATATCAGACCTGATGTCCTGTCCTCTGTTATATCCTAGTTGATCAGATCTAATGTCCTGTCCTCTGTTATATCCTAGTATATCAGACCTGATGTCCTGTCCTCTTTTATATCCTAGTAGATCAGATCTTATGTCCTGTCTTCTGTTATATGCCAGTAGATCAGACCCAATGTCCTGTCCTTTGTTATATCCTAGTATATCAGACCTAATGTCCTGTCCTCTGTTATATCCTAGTATATCAGACCTGATGTCCTGTCCTCTGTTATATCCTAGTTGATCAGATCTAATGTCTTGTCCTTTGTTATATCCTAGTATATCAGACCTGATGTCATGTCCTCTTTTATACTCTAGTAGATCAGATCTTATGTCCTGTCTTCTGTTATATGCCAGTAGATCAGACCCAATGTCCTGTCCTTTGTTATATCCTAGTATATCAAACCCAATGTCCTGTCCTTTGATATATCCGAGTATATCAGACCTGATGTCCTGTCCTCTGTTACAGATCAACCTGATTGCCCCTCCCCTGTATGTGATAACAACCCAGACCCTGGAGCGTACAGAGGGGCTGGCCAAGCTGAACCAGGCAGTGGCTATGATCAAGGAGAGCATAGAGGATGCAGGAGGGGCCTTCAACATCCAGCAGCAGGTGTGTGGTGCAATTGGTGTATTCCATACAGTTAGACACATGATAGTAGGATGGCTAGCCAGGATGGCTGAGTGTGACATCCTCTAGAGAATTTGACCTTTCATCATCTAGTAACTTTGCTGACCTTTTTCAGAACTGAACACTGGAATATAGATTGACTGATATCCAGTTATCTTTAGTATGCAAACTCTCAAACACCATGCCTCCGTTTTCTGCAGAAAGGGACATAACTCCATGCAGACGTTTTGTTAATGTTCTACTAATGTCTTTATCTGGGGCTGTGTTGAAGCATAGCAAGGTTTATCTTAGGTATGAGACTTGAAAGCTTTGATAAAATGATACGGATGTTGTGTTGCAGGCCCGTGTGGTGTCCGACATCGATGAGATTGAGCTCGCCAAACAGTTGGAGCGTTTGGAGGAAGAGAACCGGGAGGTTGATGGTGATGCTGACGATGATGATGAAGAAGAGTATGGGATGGTGATGCCCGATGACAAACTAGCCGATGTTGACATTGTTAAAGAAGACTAAGAGACGTGTGGAGGGGAGTGCTTAATCATCAGATTTTCGCTGGACTCGTCAGTCTCCTACTGATCATTGACCTGATGCCATTGTTGACATCACCACTGTCTGATGCAAACATATGTGTTTCCCAAACACTGAATCATTAATTGTATTGATTTGGGCAGATCTGGTGCAAGATCTGAGACTGGTGCCATCAACTCTGTATACTGAGATCGCCAGGATGTTCGGAACCAGGCACTCAGTCCTGATGTGGAGCCAATCAGCATCTGCATACAGCCACATGTATATTGTATTCTACGAGATGTCATTAAAATTCAATGTGTATAAATCAAGTTTTGCGTTCTTGTATGTTATATTGTGTTTTTTCTGGTCTAGTGGATCAATGATCTGCCCTGAATTCAGTTCTATAAAAGTACCAGCTGGAACTGTACAACTCAGCCCAGTAATGAAGTTCTTGAAAGTCATTTGGAAGTTGGATGAACATGATGAATACATGACACGTTTTATGGATGACACGTTTTATGGATAACAACGTCTTCTTATTCTTTGTGACCGCCTCCGTGGTGTAGTGGTTAGAGCGTCCGCCCGGAGAGGGGAAGGTCGCGGGTTCGATCCCCTGCAGCGTCATACCAAAAAACGTTAAAATATGGTACTTGTTGGTCCCTGCCTGGCGCTCGGCATTAATGGGTACAAGGACTGGTCGGCTCGGAGTCAGTATAATGTGTTTGAGTGGGGTATTCATGCTTCACTGCTGCATGGTATCTCAGTGGGCTAGCACCATAAAACCAGCTTAAGTCTGGGCTAGTACAAGCAGCCACACATACACACGCATGCACGTCGTCATATGAGCGAAATGTTCTCAAGCACGACGTTAAACCCAATTTCACTTCACTTCCACTACCATGTTTCAGTGTTGTATCTTTTAGGCGTACCAGAATACTAATCATTGTGAGTTTGAATACCACACTCACTCAGATCATAAAACCTTTTTCATGACCACACCCATTTTGTTTGGTTTAATCAATGCAACATGTACATAGTGCTGAATGTTGAGTTTCGCGATACCTGGGTAACTTATTAAACTCACTATGTCACGAAAACGTTTATGCTTATGTCTTTAAATATACATATTAATGCTGGTTCTATCAAAATGAGACATTTAAAGACCCTAATCCTTAGTCCACAAAGAACCCTGATTTTAACATACTTTTAGCAAACGTCAAGATCGGCATTCATTCTCTTAACACGTACACATGTTCCAATGACTAACAGTATCCGAGACATGGTTCATTCTGAAAGTATCATCCTCTGTGTAGGACTTGGCCTACCACATTAATGGGATAAAGCTGATGTGATGGTATGGTATTTGGGTTTATGTCGACTTGGACAACTTAAGGTCCATGTGTGCCCAAATACATCAAATGAGTGAGTAATGAAAATGAGATGATCAACCAGTCTGTCTCGGTAGTGTTCAGGTAATCACTATTTTTAAATTGACGATACGGTGAGGAATTCTAATATTGCCCCTTAATTGAACCATAGAATATGTTTGGATCATAAAGTGTAAATAGAGAAAATGAGCTTTCTTTCTCAATTTCTGCACTTCTTAAATTTAATGTTATTGTGGCCTGGGCATTCAATTGAATAACGTTTCACTGTCTCGGTAGTATATTCATCACTGTGCGAACATACAGGGATGACCTCTTTATCAATGTCAGGCAGTGTCTAAGACGACGTGCAATTATGACCTCCTCACTTTTCCTGCGTCGGTGAGTTGTCCAATGTAGTTTTAAAGGAAAACCTGTGAATATGTGTCGGCCAGCAGTCCAAGCATCCCACAACTGTTGACAGCTCGAGGTGAACGATTTTACTTAATTGGAGTCGAAAACCTTTGGTTGGGGTCTGAATTCTGAAATTCTGAATATCGTTACCTCATGATATTCCAAGCCAGAGTTCGCAAGTTCGTCGTTTATCGCATTTCAAAAAATGAGCTGGAATCCACACAAGTCACTCAATACTCTTGAGTCCAAGATGTACCCAGCCTCAATGTGACAAAACAATGTCACTTCGTGAACCACTGATACCAAATTCGACTGCACCCACATCAGCCACGGAGTCTGTAAATACAGGGGCGGATACAGCTTTTTGAGAAAAGGGGTAGGTGCACAGTTCATTTTCACCCGTTTTCACGGGAGTTTCAATTGTCATTTAATAAACTTTCAGTACAAGGGGGGTTGGGGCGCACTCCTGCACCCCTCTCTGGGTCCGCCTATGAAATATAACTGCATCTGCATCAAATGATGAAAGATGCTAATTTAGTCTGAACGCACCTGAGATGTATTGTTAACTCAAGGTACTTGTTATTTTGAGCGACATGTTGTTACCAATACCTGGGTTGGTGGTGATGCCATACGCTCACATCGAATCGGCTCCCAACGCGTTGTTTCTAATCCGTGACCGCTCATGGCCAAACGGCGCCTTTCTAGGAACAGGATCGGCGCTCTGAAATCACGAGCAGCACTCAAAAATAATGGTAATGGCGTGTCCAATGATTTTACCATCAGACAACGAGAACAAATTAAGGATGTGAAGGACGGGAGAATTATCGGGTACTTTTAGAATGGTGAGCTGTTGACTAAAACAAGTAATGATAGACATCCGCATGAAACAGGGAGATCTGAGAGAACCAACCGACAAGCGAGCAGTAGTAGACAGCGTGACGGTTATAGTAGGGCTCAGCAATCCAGCAAGCCCCAGGATCTTTTCACACAGGATGGAAATAAGTCGCACACCGTCAACAATAGAGTGTCTGTGTTATCATGGGACATTGATGGTTTGCGTAGAAAGTTTAATGACTTGATTTAGTGCTTATCTCCAGCCATTTGACATTGCGTGTCTAATGGAGACATTAATAACTGATTTTGCCAACGTAAATTGTCTACCTGGGTACCAAATGTTTTCCCCACCAGTGAAACAATCATGATCAGGTGGATGTTCTGGTGGTGGGTGTCTGTGCAAGACACGAAACCGTGAATCAGTGCGTTCCACTTGGCACACAAAAAGACAATTTGATATGTTTACAATTTCTTAAAGCTGATTTTAATTTAACAAATGAGTTCTTGTAATACAGCTATATTTTACAACGGGAATATTGATTCAGGTTAACTTCTTGATGAAAATTAGACTTTTATAATGGACCATTGATTTCACGTTTTCTCACGTGTTACATTATCAGGATTTTATTATTTGTAACTACCTGCTTCACCTTTCACTAAAGTGGGTGAGACCAGATCACACATTTGGATAAATTACAGTATTGGTTTATCATGCAACTTGATTCACCAAGTCACACTAGAAATAGCATATTTTGAAGTATCTAAAGGATATAGTTCATCACATTATTGCGAAGGACACTATATACACAACGTACACAGACAATGTCTGTTTCCAGACCAGCTTCAGCGAATGTCCAACAGCATCTGACAATTCAGGGTGTCTACCGCATAATGTTCATCAGTGGAAAAGATCAGGATCTTGTCTTCTCCACCATCTGCACAGTGGAAGGATCTGCCATGTCTGGTTGTAGTCCACTGCCCCACAAGGTCAGCATCAGGTCTGGTTAGTGGCAGGACAAGGGTTGTCATTAAGCAATGTCGATAGAGGGCATTGTTGAAGCTGGGGAAGGAAAGAAGATGTGGAACGGTCTGAATTGAGGTTAGCCTGCACTGCAGATAAACTGGACAGGTATTGCGTCTTCTCTGGCCCGTTTCCTCAAAGTACAATGTACTAATAAACTTGACTGGAGTCAAATCTGAAGATGGATGGATAGTAGTCCGAGACACCTTTCAGGAAGTTCCCAGCAGTGAAACATATCCCTCAGCAGGTCTTGATGCTATATCTTCAGTGTGTGGTCTGACATATGGTTTGATTCCTGGAGTAGGTGAACCCATCACGGACTATTTGTGGGGTTCCTCTCTGAGACCCGAGACTCAACACTCCGTATACCAGCCATGGTGGTGATTTCCGACTTAGACTGTGATATGGTACATGTGAGATCACTCTCAGGTTATGGAGAAGTGTAATCTGTTTAATGTGTTCTTGTTCAGCCTAACATTGCATTTAATGAACATGATGGGGGTAAAACTCAAGCGTTTAAAGATTCTTGTTAATCTTCCCAGGGTTACCTATGTCCTATATCTCAGGAAATACCGTGAATCCTACTGTTTCTAAAACACATGCAACCCAACAGAGATTAGACGCAACTGATAATCACAATAATAACTTGGTTAACAAGCTAAACAAGCTGGAGTCGCTCACTGTCTGCTTCACACAGTTGGGAGCACCTCATTATTTAGTAAGTAAGACCAGGCAGTTATACTGGTAACACTTGACTGGTCTATCCGATAATTGGATCGTCTGACAAATGGAGTGTTCGACAAATGGCAATGAACCGGCAATAAGGATGACAAGTTTAGGTATGTAGGAGATAGTGGTTCCAGGGTTCTTGATTACCTTCTTGCATTTGTTGGTCTGTTTGTGTTTTTAGCAATGGTAAATGTTGGTGCCACATTAGATTCTTACCATTTCCCAGTGCAGTTATCTTGCAGATTATTTCCCCCTGTATCCAGGCTATAGATTGGGATGATCGTGATCATGCCTCTGCCGCGTGGGTCGTTACTTACAGATCAGTTACTGATTTACCTGGTCACGAGTCGATTAGATAACAAACTTGTCGTTAAATAACAAATACGCTTTAATAGTCAAAACGTGTTCAATGTTGTTATAAGACAACAACCTTTACCTGTTATACATTGTACCTGTAGCGTCAGTGATGGACAGTGTTGTACTACGTTTAGACTTGTGCTACAACTTCTTAGACGTCTGGGGTGGTGGAGTAGCCCAGTGGTTAAAGTGCTCGCTCGTCACGCCGAAGACCCGGGTTCGATTCCCCCCATGGGTACAATGAGTGAAGCCTATTTCTGGTGTCCCCTGCCGTGATATTGCTGGAACATTGCTAAAAGCGGCGTAAAACTAAATTCACTCATAGGCGTCTCTAGTGGCGCTCAAACAACGTAGAATGATCTGAAAAGTCTATTCTCGAGTTATCTGCTTCGAGACTATTGTAGATTTTGCTCGGCATTTCCTTGGGTATATATAAGGGAGCGAGTTATTGCCTCTAATCTCACATTACGTCTCAAGTTACCAGGATACCTGGTATTGTGAGTGCAGATGGGCATACCCTGCCATGCCTAGCTGTATGTTGAATTACTGTTAATGTGGTAACTTAAAAATGTATGTAAATATAATTAAACTACTATTAGAATTACTACCA